AGGCCGTACGCACCTTGATGAAGAGCAGGATGTTGAGCACCTTGGTCTCCCTCTTTCCGTTCTTCTCCCTCAGCACCAGCACGTCCAGGACCCGGGCGCCCACCTGCTGCCCCAGCTCGGCCAGCCGCGCCTGCAGCTCGGACACCGAGTACACCCGGCTCTGGCAGTACTGCACCATCTCCGAGAAGAGCAGGGCGAACGCGCTCAGGCTCACCTCTGTCTTTGGCCGCGTCAGCGAGCGCTCCAGGATTGCAGACTTGCCCCGGGTGAACCGCGTGTCCATCTTTGGGGACAGAGAGGATGAGGGTAAAAGTGAACGAGAAAGGAAACCTTCGATAAAGGGATGTCTTTGGCAACAGAGACCACTGTAAACAATGCCAGCTTTAAGACATAGAACTGTCCCACCAGGAGGACAGCCGGTCCAGTGGTTAAGATACAGGACTGTCACACCAGGAGGACAGCTGGTCCAGTGGTTAAGATACAGGGCTGTCCCACCAGGAGGACAGCTGGTGCACCAGAAGGTTAAGGTGACTAAACCCCAAGTTCTCCATCCTACAGAGATATCAGGCCGAGGTCTCGCTGTCTGAGACTTCGCCACGGTTCGCCACCAGGTGTCTATATCTTAAAGTTTATGATGAGGGCAGGGTCCAGCCCCAATACCACCTGGTCCCGGATACATCTATCCTGAAACAAAACGGAGGTCTGAAGCTGCCCCTGGACTCAAGTAAATTAACGACTGCACCATATTCTGGGAACTGTTAATGGCGTATGCATCACGCTTAACCGTTTATAAAAATAATCCTGATTAAGACGTAAAGGAAACAATCTGAGTGTTTAGACTACACGACGTCTTCACTACGAAACCTGAGACATTCGGCGTCACCTTTCACAGATTCACCTTTTTCTGCGAGAATGAATAGAAAGAGACAGACATTTCATCCGGAACACAATCCGTCTATTAAAAACAGCAACACTAATTTCCAAATATCTCAAACAAGATGATAAGAAACAGCGCTGGCCTGCTAGGTCAAAACATCTAATCGTATCCATTACATTACATTACATAATCATACATTTTGTTAAAATTATTAGAAATCTTACCTTTTTAGACCAAATGAAGTCGTCGGACCAAACGTAAACACAATAATTTCCGCTTCCGGGTTAAATGTCCCTCGGCCTCTTAAAGGTGTAGTGCCCTCTGTCGCTGTAAATATCATTACGACGGCCATGCTTTTCCAAATGTGTAAACCGATTCCTTTTAAGAATAATGTATTATAGCATTAACTATCCAAACTAACATCTGCATATTAAAAACTCCACTCGTACCAGTGCACAGAAAAATGATTCCAATTCTGTTTTATGATAAAAAATGCATGATGCTATTCTCTTGTAGTTTTATCACAACATTTATCTTTATTTCGTATTCACAGCACTACACGCAACATAGAGCGACACATAGCATCATGCCTAGAGATGTTAACATGTGTATTTGAGTCTGCATGTATTTATCTATTGACGATCAATCTATATTTCCTCGCAGGTGTTGTTGCCAGGAAACCGAGCGCTGGTATCTGGTGTTGAGCAGCTCCTGCTTCACCGCGCCATGAGGCGGTGGTGGGGGGGACTCACTCTGACACATTCCATCAATTTTAGTGGGCTTTTATTTTTATTATTATTGAGACTCACTTTCAAGAGACAAGAGATCACATACTCTTGACAACAAATCACATTACAGCCCTGTCTGTCAATCACCCAGTTTCTATGGCCAGGCTGTGGTCACTGAGCCTGTCCTCTCTGGGCAGCCAGGTCTGCCTGTGTCCAGTGGGTGTTGTGTTTGTGTAAGTGTCCCAGTAGGTAATGTTGTCCACTTTGTGTGGTGTTTGTGTGTGTCCCAGTGGGTGAGGTAGTGTTGTTTG